GATACTACCACTTCCTCTGGCAAACGCTTCAGCAGTAAAACAAATTCTAAATGCCAGAAAATATTTCCCAATGATATGCCTACATTTGCCTTTGCTTAACATCAATCACTCCATTATTTTTATTTGCACTTCTATAGACTACCAAATACAGTTTTGGCACATAATTATATTTTAAGGAAGCTGATCTTTAGCAAGCTGCTCCAAAGAATGTAAAAATTATTTCAAATACTACGGTTTAGTACAGTTATGGAAACAAAAATTCAGTATCTAACACATTTTATCCTCATCAAGTGACTATTACCAGTCCCTAGTCCAAAATCCCCTACAGATATTCTCTACCAGAAGACTGGAAAACAAATACACAAGTGCATACCAAAAAAAAAAAGAAAAAAAAAATCAGAAAAACAGACTATTGAAAACAAGTATTTCAGACTTACACATTCACTAAGCCCCTAAAAATTACGTATGTATCTATAAATTATATTATATATACACAGATAGTATTTCAACATTGGTAATTGCCAAGCTTAAAATTATACTTAAGAGGAAAATCAAGTGACATTGGTGACATAGCTAACTTTACTTCACATCAGTCAATAACGGTTAAATTTCTGATCTGTAACACTGTAAACACTGCTTTTTCATGCTTAAAATTTTAAACTAACTTCTGATGAACTACCATATGAAAGCTTTTATTTATGACAAATTAGATCTGTTCATGAAGTTCCTAGTCTATATACAAAGCATGCTAATCATGTACAAAATATGTTTCACACGTGCAGATATTTGCAAGAAACAGGGATCAACAGATACACCAAGGCGGTGTACAAAAACGTAGCAGTATACTTCTCCCACACGGATGCAATGTACAAAAAAATGAGTTGTAGTTTATTGCTCTTATTCTCTCTCAGACACATTCTCTTTGTGAATTAAAGTAACAAAAATTTGTAAACAACATACTATTATTAACTAGTATGAATTATAAATGCATCAAGACTGTTATTTGAGATTAGTAATTTAAACTATGGTATCCACAAATAAATATGGATTTTCTTAACAAGGAGACAGAATAAGAAGCAACTTGTCTTACAAGCTGAAAGTATTTACCACTATGAATCCTTTAGGATGCTTTTAACATGCTTATTCCAGGTGACATATACCCATCACATACCTAAATCTCACAGACTTTTCAGCCAGCAATTATTTACAGACTGTGTAGATATCATTTGTAAATAAGGACCCAGGACATAACTCAACTGAATCTATGATCTATTCAGAAGAAAAAAGGCAAGTTATTTTGTAGAAATTCTGCTCTGCATGCTGATAGGCATTAGTGTTTTATCCAGACTGGATGGAGAATTATGGCAGAGCACTGCACGGGAAATTACTGGCTGAGATGGGCATAGATGACTGTTGGTGATCAACATCATTCTGTAGACAGGTTTCATTAAAATTAATTAGAATAATCAAGTTTATGTATACAAGCATGGATATACCTTTCACAAAAGGCATATTGATTTTCCAAGAGTACAAACTTTACTCTTAGGCACCTGTGTACTCATTGGATGAAAAAATTTGCAATAATAGATAGCTGCAAAAATTGATAAGTATTTATATCTCACAAAGTATAACAATGCATTTCAGAAGTTTGGGATTTTTTTTTAAACCCAAAAGTATTAACGGCATTATTTAAGACTAAGCAAAACATCCAGTATTCAAACACAATCAACCACATCTTCATGCATACTTTTCTGTAATCTCTTCTTTTGTTATATATCAATGACAAAAACATTGGTTTAAGAATAGGAATCTTATAATTATTCCTGATAATTTAATGGACTTTTCTCACAACGGTGATTAATAATATAATGGGGTAGAAGAGGAGAAACAATGCAACTTTCAAGTTCCCTATGTACACTACTGTCAAAACTGGAAATGATTGTTCCTTTATGCCCACATCTTTAAACAAAAACATGAAAACTAACTACGTCTCTCAGTTTCACTGTAGGTAGCACATCTAACAAAAGAAATGCAGTACAGTTCAATCAAAAGCTGCCCTCTCCCCACACACATCATCGTCATCCCATACATTTCCCTGCCCTACAGTGCTCTTCCCAAGACTGGGAAGGGTGTAATTTATGTTTATATTTAGTGAAAAGACAAGGAGAAAATATTCATAACAACTAAACAAAAGATGTAAAGACAAATAGCCAGTAAGGAGAATAAATACCGATAAGAGATAAACACTGAATTTAAGTCATGTTTAAGTTGCAGAGTAGTTTCTCTAGGCTTCCTCTGTGGTAAATGTACATTTAGCTGAATCTCAGCCCTCTGGATGTACACAGCCCAGGAAGATTAATTTCCTAATCTGATGCTGAAAGTTATACACCATGAATACTTTCACAAACCATTTGCAAAATGTTTGAAACATATTCTATTTACACCTGAAAGCTATTTGTAATTCTGACAAAGGCTTTGGCAATTTTATTTGTAGGCATTAGTTTAGTACAGGAGGGGAAATAAAAAAAAAAGGTGTATTTTCACCAATGACATTGGTGAATGTCATCTTTTCTAAAAACACTCTTTTGACACTCAAAACTAAAAGCATGCATAGCAATCAGGACACTTTGTATTTTCAATTTCTTTGGCCAGATTATTATTTTCCCAAATTGATATAAAGATGTTTTCACATGAATTAAATTTCTCGTAAGCCTTAATTGATGGAAACATATATTAGGTGGGCCCACATATATGAAGATATTTTCCCTTAATAAAAATATAGTATGTATTTCATCTGTCTGGTATTTGGGATATATTATGTGTGACACAGACATGAAAAACAGGATTCTTAAAATTACTACTCTTACTTTCTAAGCATATTTTGGTCCTAACCTTGTAATCCTGCTGTAATATAGTACTTTTGACCTAGATCCTTTGTGAACGGCACTCAGCCCTGTGTGCTCACAAAAAGTGTCAAGAACGGGGGTATAGAGCCCATAACCCCTCTGGTAAACACACAGAAATATTGATAACGCAGATTGGAAGACATATCAGCTAACTTTTGGCAGTTAAGTCAAGAGCCAAATTGTGCTGAAATTTTCTACATTGCACAAGGAAAAAAAGACTATAATGAAGTACTCTTAAGAAGACGAACTTCATTCCACTGAACCTCTGCTGACTAAAATGAAACCAAGACTCTGACAATAAGCATGTAAGTGAGCTGCTACTGACTACGTAATCTGAATGGCCCCCCTCTTTAAAGTGAGTTTTTCCTCATCCCTTTGAAGGGATACACACACACAAAATATACATGTACTCCCACTTCAGGTTTGTGACCAATATCAATAGGCATTCTTTGCCTATTTCCAATGTAGAGTAAAAAAAAAAGTATTTCCACCTCCCACTTCCAACAGACATATCCCAGAGAAGGCAGTTTCTTTGTTTTGGCTTGTTTTTTGTTAAAAGTCAAACATCTCTGATGGTTTCTTAAAAGGTGATACCTGCCAAAATTAACCAAATGAAGAGCAAAGCATGTCCCAGTGGTCTGAAGAAGAACTCGTTTAAACCAAAGCAGGTAGGACAATCCCTAGACACTTTGCTCCTGGACATAACTCCATGTTAAGATTTTTTTTCCCCGAGAAAAAAAAAAAAAAAAAAAGAGAAGATCGGGCCAGAGACATTCCCACTCTTCTAGAAGTTTCTGCAATTTCATCTCCATTCTCTCCCCGCAATTTTCTTTCCCTCACTAATGCCAGTGAAACTGATCGCAGAACTGCGCCCTGAACTGAATCAGTGCAATTTTAAATTAGTGCTTTTTAAAGCCAAATTATTTCAGTAATTTGGTTAATTGGTCAGTCAGCCCAATTGCTATCTTAGCACCACTGAAGCCGTGACAAACCTTGGGAAAGGCAGAGGAGGGAAGGGAGGGTGGAAGTACAAGCAGCAAGGATTACCTTATATTAGCTTCTTCCCCAGAAAACCTTTAACACCAAACCACAACCTGAATTAACCAAAAGTGTCTACAGATCCAGATTATACTGGTTTCTTTCTTGCTTTAAGAGGGTCCTTTCCTTTGCAGCCAAGAAGCAAACATGGAACCACATTCCCAGTTTTAATTTAATGCATTTCCAAGCAGGAAACAATTGTACTGTTAGCTTCCAAAACATTTAAAGTAATAGACATTTTAAAAGTATGTTTTAGCATTTGAAAATAATCTTACTGAAATTTTAATGTGTTTCCTTATTTAGATGAGTAGAGTGAGAGAAGAAAGAAACAACGAGCAAAGCAGAAATGCATTTGCGGCTGGAATTTCAAAAGGGAAGCATACTTCCCAAGTTAGGAACTAAAAACAAAGTTACAGCTTATGGAACATATCAGCTTAATACTAAACTACAGCTTCAACAGGTAGGCATACCCTGCTTAAAAAAAAAAAAGAAAAACCAACAAAACCAAACCATAAATCATAGAATGGTTTAGGTTGGAAAGAACCTTAAAGATCACCTAGTTCCAACCCCCCTGCCATGGGTAGGGACGTCTCCCACCAGACAGGTTGCTCCAAGCCCCATCCAACCTGGCCTTAAACACTTCCAAGGATGGGGCAGCCACAGCTTCTCCAGGCAACCTGTGCCAGTGCCTCACCACCCTTACAGTGAAGAATTTCTTCCTAATGCCTAACCTAAATTTACCTCTTTCAGTTTAAAACTGTTACTCCCTCATCCTATCACTACGCTAATCCAAAACTTAAACAGAGAAGTAATACTTTCTTAAATGCTACTGAATAAGAGCAACACATAAATAGTTCTATTGATACCAGATTTTGCTCGTAAACCACAAACTTGTTCCTAGTTTGGCCTGTGGCAAAATATTCACAATATTCATTCAATGTGAAATACGTATCACAGGTCTATTTGATTTTAAAGAACCTAATGAAACACAGAAATGTACCAAGAAGGTGCTTATCACAGTTTAACAGTCAAATTTAAACACTTAATTCTACTTACAGAGCCATCTTTCAGATTTCTTTCATAGGAGAAGTGACAGTCTGTATTTTCTTCATCTCTTGAAACAGTAAAGTTGTATTTGCTAGCTGATTCTTCTCCAGCTATCAATGCTTTCCTCAGTTCTTCGACATACTTTTCCCTATTCATTTCCATGTCAGCAGCCTCCCTAGAAATTTCAGCTTCAGACACTATCAGAAAGAAACGTGAGAAATAAATATTTATGTATGGGAACATGTACATATATTTATATGCACATACAGAGACACACTCACACACTTTAAGGGACAGGCAAATATTGGGAGACTATTCTTTCCTTGACATATATCAGCATGCCAGAAACTAATGGAAATGTAGAAGGAATACTTTGGTTTTTTGTAAGAATTAAGTTCTGTCCCTTTTTTTCCTTTCTGAAAATAGTTTATTGCCTCTAGTCCACAATTCTACTTGCCTAACGTTATTCTGTATAACACCAACCTTACAACAAAGACCGCAATGTTTTAATTATGATTTATTGTACCCGCTCAGTTCTCTTTGACAGTGTATACTCTAAACCCTATAAGACAATACATGCAACTGTCCCCTTATGCATCCGTGATCCAGTTTTCCAAGTTTGTAATTTACAACCTTAAAACAAACCAAACTACACCTAGAGACTTGAGAATCCATGTTTTACTGTTCACATTCAAGGACCAATAAACAGGGGATGTGTGTCCAGTCTGCATTACATCCAGTCTATGAAGAAAATTTTATTCCATTCCTTTGAAGATGAAGAACGGTTGAATAACGTACAGAACAGGGCAATAAAGATGTACTGTCATTAAGAACCCCAATAACCTTTCCTGTCTGCTTCTGATCCTTTATTTCTTCCTAAACCTTCCCTTGGTTAACACTCAAGCTGAAATGGCAGCTTACCAAGACTCATCATCTTTCACCAAGAGTAGCAAGAAACAGTTCTTGATTTTTCCACCTGGGCACCTGGTTATTCCCCTTCCTTTTTATTTTATTCTACATACTGTTTCCTCAGTACTTTTGGAGATCAAATTTTAATCAGAATAATGACCTCAATGAGGAGTGCGGAGTTTCTGGCACAGACAGACACAAGCAAAGACTCTAAATTAAAGTTAAGATAGGATATGCATAATATAATGCAGGCTTTAATGTCTAGCCTACCATTACAGTCTTTTACTGGATTAACAGATGTGTTTCCTTTTCTTCTGACCAATCTTCTGAGGAAGAATGCTCTAGATTGTCCTTTACCCCTCCTTGCTCTTAGACCTGTCTAGTACTTGCCCAGCATGTGAGAGTGCAAAATATGCAAAAGGACATTAGTTTGTGACAGCTTGAAAAAAACCCACAAAACAAAACAAAGGAGGCAAACAAACACACACACACCCCAAAAAACCCCAAAAACTCAACAAGAAACCCCCACAACCCCTCAAACACATCCTTCACAGAACTGCAAGTGACTTGAAAAATTATCCCACTTAAACCCCCTATTAATAACTATTTCTTCTCTATACAAATGCCTTTGAAGACAGTTTCATATTGAGACATAAGCCTGCCCATGTATTGAAATCATACTGATAGAAATAGAACAGCATTTCAATCAAACATGAGTCTGTTCAAATTGCCTCATTTTTCTCCAATCTTCTTCTTGACACAGTAGCTAACCTCATATTGCAAAGGAGGCAGTACATATCAAATCAATCCATCATATAGATAAAAACCCTAAGAGGTAAATGTATAATTATTTGCTATGAATATCTATATCCTCACACACTTCAGGATTTCTGGATTAATTCTGCACCTTCAATAATTTTAGCTTATTTTCACAGATTCAGAGTGGTTGAGGTTGGAAGGGACCTCTGGAGATTGTCTAGTCCAACTCCACTGATCAAAGATGGGTCAGCCACAAGGGTTGCTCAGGACCATGTTTTGAATGGGTTTTGAATATCTCCAAGGACTGAGGCTCGCTGTCTTCTTTGGGCAATCTGTTCTAGTGCTTGGTTACCCCTACAGTAAAAAAGATTTTCCTGTATTAAATGGAACGCCTCGTATTTCAGTTTGTGCCCATTGCCTCTTGTCCTTGCACTGGACATCACTGAGAAGAGCCTGGCTGCACATTCTTTACTCCCTCTCATCAGGTATTAACTAACGCACATTGACAAAACCTCCTTGAGCCTTCTCTCCTCCAGGCTGGGCAGTCCCAGCTCTGTCAGCACATCCTAGCATGACAGATGCTCAAGTCCTTCAGTCATCTTCATGGACAGTCACTGGACTCAATTCCCTAAGTTCACGTCTTTCTCATACTGGAGAGCACAGAACCAGACAGCACATCATGGGTTTCACCAGGACTGAGCTAGAAAGCAAAGGCATGCAAGGAAA